TCTTTCCAGACATGTCTGGCCGCCACCACCGCGAAAAGCTCGGTAGGACCTATCAGGTGTCTCTTGCCCAGTCCCGCCCATTGCTCGACGACCGATTCGTCCAGGTAGCACCCGAACGCCCTCGTCTCGCGAAAACCAGTTGGCAGCACCCGATACATGACACCTCCGATTGAGCAGCTAAACTTGTCCCCCAGCTTGTCGCATGCACCGTCAGTGAAAACAAGAGTCTGGCCGCCAATGGGAAGAGCCTGGATCTCGCGCGGCCTGCCCTCAAGCATCCTCTCCCTCAAGCTTCTGAAGACAGTGGCGTCCAGGGAAGACAGAACATGACGGTGACGAGCACTCGAAAGCCAGCGAATCTGAGCCAAAGCCAGGCGCCCCTGTCGGCCCATCAACTGACTTTCCGAAAACTGTATCCGGCCAAACAAAGAGGGGATCTGCTTCGGATCAATACAGCCATCCGCAAGGATCTTATCGATCGAAGAGGCAATTTCCTTGGATCTTTCTGGCTTGTTTTTGACCCTCAGCACTCCGCCCTCCATATCCGTCGCATCCAGTCGGACGCCCAAAACATCGGCCGTCGGTGAGAAGGGAAGGTCCTTGTCGCTCGCCCAGTCAACTCCAAAAAGGCGCAACGCTGCCTTCACGGAGGAGTCATGGTTTTCGGCAAGGGCCCTGACCTCCACCGACGGGAAATCGTCGAAGTAGCTCGCCGCAGCGAGCTTCAGCTCCCAGAGAATCCTTTGCCACAGCCTCGAAAACCTGTTGAACTGACCGACCGAGGCCAGGGCCCCGAACGGCAACACGCGGCAGACGAACCCCTTTGTTGAGCCGTCCGCCGGATCCTTCAAGGTCACCACGCACATCCGATGGTGTTCCGGCCGTATAGCGAACTGTTTATAAGCTGAGCGCAGATCCGTAGTCTTCAAGACCGGCGAGCAGCGGCGAGCGTCCTGGTGCCAATACGAATGCAAAGGCCCCGACAAGACGGAGCCGTCGGACTTCCGGAAGAAAACCTCGCGTCGCCCCAAGCTGGCCCTCATCAAAGCCATACATGCCCAAGTGATTTCATCAAGCGCACGCAAACCGATCCTCTCCATTACTGCCCAAGCTTGATTGACGGCATTCTCGGACAGGTCGTCGATGGGCCGCAATTTGTTCTTTTGTCTGATGGAGAATCTGCGCACAGGTATCCACTTGGAGTCAAACATGTTCTGCAGTTGCTCCCACGTGTAGGGTCCATGCAACCAACCTTTCTCGTCAGCTTCAGCACAAGTGAGATCCCAGAGCTCCTGATCATCCGGGTGGCTCGCATCGCCCGACACCTTGCCCCACAGGGCTGGCTTCAAGAACTTAGCGTGCTCAAGCAACTCGTCAACGGACATCGAAGAGGGTTTCGGGTCCACCTCAAAGATGCCTGTAAGCTTGGCCTCACCCACGAGCTCAAAGCCATTCTCGATGTCGTCGATTATCGTGGCATCAGGCCACTGTAAATCCTCGGCCACACGCCGCAGGAGGGTCAAGTTTTTGCGTGCAACTATCTTCTCGACATCTGGGTGAAGCCTCGCGTGCAAGGAGGCCTCGGCTCCACGAAGTTCTTGAGACCACTTTTTCCATTTCGTCAAGGTGTCCAAGCGATGCCTCATGACTGCCAAGGGCCCTTTCGTGAGGGTGAACGCAAGAATCTCGAGCATCTCGTCCGGCACTGCAGAAGACAGGTCGAAAGGATGAGATAGAGTAATTGCTGTCCTGACGAACTCATCCTCGGTCCTGTAAACCCCAAACGTAACCCTAAAGCCCGAATCTGAAGGACCCTCGCCCCCTTGCACAGGCACCACCTGAAGGATGCGGGCACCGACAGGCACCGACTGAAAAGCGGCCGTCAAGGAGTTTTTCGCATCATAACGTAGAGCGTCCATGGACGGAATCTGCAAAGTAACCCGATGCTTGTATTCGGGCATGAGCGGCGGCACCTTGGAGACCTTGGGCTGTCGCTGCACTGCAATGGAGGACCGATGATTGGCAGATGGCTTGACTGCATCAGGGGACACAGCAAACCCTAGTGAACCCGCGAAAACAACTACCTGGGCGGCGAGCCGACTGCACAACAAACGCGGCCGGGCCCGCAGTGAAGTCACTGACTGGAAGGCTCTAGAAGGTTCCTGATTGTCGTCGGCCGACACAGCGAGAGCGCTTAAAGTCTGGACGTTAGTATGCAACAGCATCTGGCGGTGCTGCTCGCCACCATGGGCACATAGGTCGAACTTCACAGCTTGCGAGGCAGGCAGAGCCAAAGTCGACCACAGTCGGCTGTTCAGCGGATTCAAGACGCACCATCCGATATCAAGAGTGGCGAGGAAAGCCAAGAAAGAGCTGAGTTCGGACGACACCTGGGCAAAACCTGCTGGAAGTTCGCCCGCAGAAGCGGCCACAGTGGGGGCAGCAAGCACAAAGACGACCCTCCTAGCGAGTACAACCTTAACTAGAAAATCCCATGAGGCAGCCTTCCTGAGATCCAACGACACAACGCTGATCAGAGCTCTCTGCTTTAGGTGCGGTTGTTCGACCGCGAGCACATCGAATCCGGCGGCCCTCAAGGAGGCTCCAAACTCACCTGCATTGCAAAAGAGGTCAAGGCACATCAAAGAAGCGACTTGCAGTTGAGCCGGGAGGGCATCACATGCCTCATCCACTTGAGAACTTCTGAGGTCATGAAAGGTTCCCCCGACTTCGATCAAATCTGGACTAAAGTTGGGCGCCGTTTTGGGAACAGGGAAGCTCAGCTCAGCTAACCGCGCCCTACATTCAACATCAAGCTCCTGGACCCTAGCAACGCAAAACCCAACTATGACCACGCGTCGACCGCTCCACGGCCGTGTAGCGTGCACATGGCTGCAAGCATAGAAGGCCTTCGGTCCGGAGGCAACATCGATCAAGATGCCACGCTTCGTAACACCATCGACCTCAAGAGGAAAATCGCCCTGAGCCGACTCGACCCAGACCTCGCCTTTCCGAAAATTGCTGAGTGGCACAAGAATGTTCGGGAAAGGAGAGTTGAAGCGGTCGACATGAGGCTCCGTCTTAAGGTCTGAAAACACACTCAGAGTAGAAAATTGCATCCCTGGGGCAGCGCGTTGCACTGCCTGAGCGAAAACCCTCGAAGCCGCCGGATGCTTGTTGCAGTTGCTCCTGAGACCGAGCAGCGGCCCCTTCACATAGGCACCAGTCGAGAAGGCCACGGCTCCATCGTTACGAGTATTGCTCAAAAGCGGCTCCTGAGGCAGCATGTCAAACAAACGAATTAACTCCTGGGCCGTGGGATCCCTGCCCAAAGACAGAAGCTCCTCAGCATAAGAGTCCGCATGCACTTTCGGATCGAGTTTCGATCCTTGCCCTTCAAACGGCACTGCTTGGGCCCCTTCGGGCGCACTCAAAAGAGGCTCATCCCCTTCGGGATGGGCCGTAAGCACTTGCTGGATTGCTCGAGAATGGCCTTCGCCACCCCCAGACCCTGCCGCCGACCCTTTTGCACCCGGGGCCGGGGTTGAACTTGATAGTCAAGCGCCCGCCTGCTCGCCATCTTTCGGCTTCTTGGGACACTTGACAGCGGCGTGGTTCATGCCGCACTTGGGGACTGCACAGATGTGCAATCCCTTCTCACATTTATTGCCGGTCACCTTGTTCGGGCATGACCCCAGGTTAAAGGCATAGCAGATCGGGCGCCCTTTCGCGGTGTGCGAATTGCACCCACGAAGCTCGCTTGGCATGGCAACGAAGCGCTTCTTCCCTTTGCCATCTTTGCCCTTGCCCTTACCTTTGTACGGCGACTCTCGCAGACGAGCAGGCTCACTGGGACCGTACGAAGACGAGGGGCCGCCCTGGAGCGGCTGCATCAGCGAAACCACCTCATGCATGCAGCTGACAGAATCTATGATCCCATCGATCGGACGGCCTTTGGCATCCGACTGAATGCCTGTGCGCGTATGGTCCTGAAGCTCCAAAAAGAGCCTCGAGTCTGCATTTTGCAACTGAGCGAAGGTAACCTGCTGGTAACCCGGCGGGGGCGTAGTCAGCCTCGCCTTCATCAACTTTTGATGCCACATGTCAAGCTTTGTGAAAGAAACAATGTTAGCCTGATCGAATGCAAGAGCACGCTTCTGCAGAGCCTGCAGAAGCATCACTTCAGTGGACGTGTCAGCCACCTGATCCTTGGCCTTGTTCTCTACCTTGAGCTTACCACTCTCGCCGTCTATCGAAAGCTTCAGGTCCTTCTTACCGTCGCCCAGGAGCTCCTGTTCCCGCGATGTGCACTTAGACCAAGGGACATACTGGATCACATTGGCCTCATACTGACCGACGCAAAGGTCGACCAGGGCCTCTGATGGCTCCGAGGAACCCTTTATCGTGATGCCAGTCAACTGTGAACGCTGTCGCTCAATTCTCTCAGCCCTCTCGGGCTGACTCAAATGACGAACTGTCGGCTCCTCGACCCTTTCAACCTGCTGTCGCATCTCCGAAGTGACAATGGCATATGCCTCATGGAAAACTGCTCTGAAAGCTGCCTTCTGATTCATCTCTGGGTCCTTTCCAAGCATCGTCTTAAGGGCCTCGATCAACGGACCTTCGTCCGCAGCCCCCGGAGCAAAGGAGCTCACGAAGGCCAACTGCTTCAAGCTCTTAACGTGCTTCAGGATGAGATCGCGCTCAGCCTGCTCGAAACCCGCCTTCGAGAGACGGGACACCAGAACTGGCTCGGACTCCGAGTATGCGGAAGCCATGGCTCGCTCCTTCAGAACTGGCCTACCTTCAAGTAGCTCGAGCGACTCTCACTTGAAATCACAAGGCGGCATTTGCGACTCCGAACTGTTGAGACCACGCAATGCCAAGTGCAGCGCTCCTTGTATTCCGTGCGCATATTCATCCCGCCTTCGCGGGCTCTCGCGATGAGAGGCTCACAAAATTCGCATGGCGGCACTCCAGCCAGCCAGCCTATCGATCCCTCACCTCGCCTCTGGAAAAAACTGCCTGCAGATTGGATGCAAAAACCTGGGAGTCGCGTTGCACTCCAAGTAAGACGATGTAATCTGTCTGCCACACTTAAAATTTGTGCCCTCCTCAGAAGCGACCAAGTGTATGAAGCGGGTGGTAACATGCCGAAAGACCGTCTTGCCCTCCAGATTTTCTCGAAGGCAGCCGCTCGGCTCAAATTCGCCGACACTGTCCTCAACGACCTTCTCCTCCTCGAGAGTATCTGGCTCCTCCTCATCATCGCTCCTGTCGGAAGAAGAATCTGAGCCGACCTCGGCCTTGTCATGAGCTTCTCCCCTGGCAGCCAAAGACTCCGCAAACATGCCCGAGCGCGTGGCGTCCGGGAAGAACCGCCTGTAAGCGACCGCAGAAACCATTTCCTCCAACTCACGCAACGCAGGGGAGACGCTGTCCCTCGCGTAGATAACATCCGTGCCGGCGTTGGCACTGGAGTGATATCCGAGTATCGACCGGATTTCCTTACTAGCTCCCCACTTAGACATCCAAGATAAGAGCGTAGCTTTGCAGGAGTGAGTACCAGCGGCCTTGACCAACGAAACATCCTCGCCTGCACGATAGAGAAGGTGGCGAAGCCACCGCGCTCCGGCTTGCGCAGACATAGGCGCCTTCTGCCATTGGCCCCCCTCGGTGGGGGACGGTAGCAGGGGCATGTCAGGCCCCCATGCAGGCCCAGCCCTGCCGGCTACCTCCATCCAGGCCATCGCCCAAGAATCCTGCTCGAGACCCCATATAGGGCTGACCATAGCAAGATATCGGGTTTTGCGCTCCAGATTATGACTCGTCTTGCTCCTGGTGACTCTCGCTTCAAGGTAACCGCGCGGTCCGTCTTCTCCTTGCACGACGTCCTTCGCCAGCTCGCCAGAACACTGCATGTCCGAAAAACGGGCTCTCGCAAACACACAATATAAAAAGCACCCGGCCGCGTAGCGATCGACATCTGTGCGGACTTCAGGCATAAGTCCAAGCACGATTCGCTCCAGAGCCCGCACCTGTGAAGCCGTCAATGGCGGCTTCTGTTGCAGCTTTCTCTTCTCCAAGTAGAGCTTCGAAACCGCGCCAGCCAACCTGCTACTAACACAACCGTCCGGGACCTTCGCCTCCAAGACATATTGCATGAAGCCAACGGAACTCATAAAGCTGGATGCAAAGGTAGGAGCAGCTCCACTGCAATACTCTTTGACGAAGCGATACATCTTCTGCTCAGACAAAGGAAAAGGCTGTTCTCTGATGCGCCAGCAGAATGCCATGTATCTTAGGACCGGGCCCGCCCTGCTGTGAAGCGTACTGCTCGCCTTAAGCGAGAAAACATCTCCTAGAGACTCCTGCAGGGAGGCCGGCAATCCAGCTTCAGCATCCTTCGCCACTCTGGCACAGACCCCGAAGAAGTCGCCGCCCTCTTTCGCAATCCGAAGCCACTTCATGACAGCCGCATGCCTGTTATCCGACTGTCTCCGAACCCAAGAAGGCCCAACCTTCCGTGGCAGCTTGCCGCCAGTGGCAGTCAGATTTATAGCCGGCGGGCCACTCAGAGCTTTCACAGGAGCAGCAGCTGTATGTGTAAGCACATTCCCAAGACGCCCCTTTCCCAGAAATGCACTCGGCAAAACACTCGGCACATTAACAATGCTTCTCTCCCATGGTTGCTTTGAGCTGCTCGTAGAATTCTGATGCACGACATGGGCAAGATGCCCATCGAATGCAGCATCAAACGTCCTCTTCTCTGCCATCGCACGAGAAGCTGCCCATGCGCCACTAAGGCGGTACACCAGGGGTTCTCGGGCCCGAAACCTGTTTCACACAGCTTGGCCCGGAGCCCGTGTTCTACACAAATCTCTCTTACCCCCCGTACAAACTTTGCTGCACGGAAGGTTCCCGCCCACCCACCCTATGTTTGAGCATGCGCGGAACAACAAAGATTCATAAAAGTTCAAATGGAATCTCATGACACATGAAGCGGTTTCGAAAAACTTCTTCAAAACTTTCGAAACCTACCAAAAAGGTTATAAAGCCTTATGGGACTAGTTTGTGATTTTTAGCGTCCCAAAAACGGCATTCCATGCCTTCGGGGTTTCCAGGGAGGGGCCGGAGTTCGGCTTCCACGCGAGAAAACTTGTTCCGCGAAAAAGCTGATGAAAAGCATGTACAGTGAAAAATCAAGCATGCCGAAAAATCACTGTAACGCAGCAACGTCCATGGCGAGGAAACTACAACCCATCCCTAGGTTTGAGCCGCTCGTGGCGCTTGACTAGGCGCATCCGCCCGGTTCGAGTGAGTAGGCACTCTCCCAAACCACGGCCTAGTCAAGTTGTCATGTTCCAGCGATAAGACTTGTTGTAGAAGTCGCCGTCCGTTCTTTGTTCCAGAACGGCCAGCAATCAACGCGGATTGCGCAGCTTCGTTGTCTAAGCAAAAGGTGCTGAAGGTGTCCTTCAACACCCCAGCCCAGATCCGAAACGCCACCAGAACCGCGTAGAGTTCGACTTCATATATAGGATGCTCAGATTCGGTCTCCAGAACATCCAAGTCCGCCTTAGGGACCTCGGAACTGAAGAAAGCAAGCGAAGAGCCAGAAGCATCGTAAATGACTCCCCCAATGCCAGCCACAACTTCAGCACCGGGTTCATAGGATCCATCCGTGAATACACAGAGCTCCCTTCCTGAAGTTTGCCTCAATTCCCTGTCCTTCGCATAGCTTCGTGGTTAGAGGTTGGGGTTTTCCGTTCTTTCAAAACAGTTGCTATTTAGGCAAACGTCTTTCTATAAAAGCGAATCAAAAATTGTATCTTCCAAATGAATCCAAAAGGAGCGCAAGATAAAAGCTGAGCGAATGAAATACATATATATTTGACAATCAAGAGCACTCGGACGACACTCGTTTTATTCGCAGCGGTTGGTAGTCTCGCGGTGCCCTTGGTAGGGCGGATGCATGTTGATGCATCCAACCCCCCCGCGGCATGGAAAAGAGTATTCTCGGAATGCGCTGACATTCCAGGGTGGGTTGGGTGGGCTAAAGAAAACGACATGAGCCACGGCCTGAGCCTGACGTGGCTACCCATTCGAGACTGCAACATTGCGAGACTGTGGGACTGACCCGGAAAGACATGGATTGAAAAATCACTCAAGAAATTCAAGCCAAAAGCAAAACTAAAATCTGACAGAGAAAATTTGTCTTCTTTCAAACAAAGCGCACGGGATCCGTCTAGGATCCAAGTCCTCAGCTAAGAATCCCCCCCCCCCCCGCCCGTCAGCTAGCTCCGGACAGATCTACAGGGTGAAACCCGGTTTAGCCTGTCCTTCGCATAGCTTCGTGGTTAGAGGTTGGGGTTTTCCGTTCTTTCAAAACAGTTGCTATTTAGGCAAACGTCTTTCTATAAAAGCGAGTCAAAAATTGTATCTTCCAAATGAATCCAAAAGGAGCGCAAGATAAAAGCTGAGCGAATGAAATATATATTTGACAATCAAGAGCACTCGGACGACACTCGTTTTATTCGCAGCGGTTGGTAGTCTCGCGGTGCCCTTGGTAGGGCGGATGCATGTTGATGCATCCAACCCCCTTTCCCCTTCAGGGACGCACTACCAAGGAGTCTTCTCTGCCTTCCTCTTCTGAGGACGATGCCCCGAGGCATCCTGTTGCAGCACGGCCTGAGCCCTTCGTGCTGAGTCGAAGCTTTCTTTGGTCTCCCACAACTGATGCAGAAGCGAAAGGGGCAAATCCGAGTATGTGCATGCAATGCGATGTTCGTCCGAGAAGTTGGTGAAAATCTCGTTGGTAAGTTGGTCTGCGTACTGATTCTCATCGCGCGGCCTCCACCGTAGGAGGAGCTTCAAGGAAGAGCGAAAAAGCAAGTCAGACAACTGCATGTTGATCAACATGAGTGGCCACTTTGTTGATGACCCCTTCTTGAGCAATCTCGAGTTGCCCTGATTGTCTGTGTCCGCAGCGCACTCAATGTCCAATTCCTTTCTGTCCACAGAGGCTGTCAAGTATCCGAAAATGTGAAGAGCCGCCAATGTTGCCAGCAGTTCTGCTGAGCCTGATGCCCATTGTGATTTACCCTCCTGATCAAACAAGTACGGTGCATCACCCGGTGTCAAGCGCAGCGAAAACCACTTAGAAGTCTTAGTGTCATCACTTAACTCCCAACCGGCCAACACGACGAATCCGTCGGCACACTTTGCGTCTGTCCTGAAACCCGCGACCTGGTGTTTAGGCTTGCGGCAGGGGTTCACCTTAAAGGTGAATTCGTCAAGCGTTCTTTCCAAGTAAAGGAGTGTCAAGATGACGGTCCAAGTAACTTGGCGACGGTGCTCCGGGACACCGCTGATGCCCACGCATACAGGGGAGCAAGGTGAGGCTTGACCCAAACCACTATCCTAGAAACAAACCCCAACCGGCCAAGGAACTCCCTGAAGAGTCGGACCTGAACCACGAAGCGTTTGGTCCTAGCATCTTTGATCCATGAAACGATCCAAGCTCCTCGAGAGTCCGACATGCCAACTTGCCAAGAACGGTAGTCGAGCTCAAAGCCCACGAAGGGAACCTTAAAACCTCCCCGAAACTTCTTAAAGGAGAAAGGGGTCCCTAAGGCAAGATACAAGACGAACCACATCACCAGATTTCGGAACTTCTGTGCTCCAGTGAACACACCGTGGATGTCGTCCACGAAGCAAAGTTGATAGAACCATTCCTGAAGCATTGCTCTGGCGACTGTCCTTCCCACGAGTCCGAACAATCTGCTCCACCAAAATGAAGCGACACTCAGTCCGAATGTTCCTACAACATTAACCCAAACGACAGTGCTTGTAGAGTCTGCTTTGCATGCCATCAAGGGGTGGTCCCGACGCCTGTGCTTGACAAGTCGGTGAGCCGCACTAACGTCAGCTGAGATTCCAAAGGCAGCCTCGCGCGATCGTTTAGCAGAGCTCACAGCGTGTGCCACTTCAGCAGGGCCAGGTGTGGCCGTCTGGTTCAGCAGCCGAATGCCATTGTTGACCTTCACCCCACGGGTACCATTGTGTAGGGGACGGACGCTGCCGTCTGGTTTGGCGACCGCTCCCATCGCTGCTATGCGCACCCTGTCAGCTCCGTGCTCGGCTGCCAAAGCGGAGTAAGTGGTCGGGTACATCCGTCCCAACTTCTCTTCCTCCCTGAACTTCAGCTCCATCTCTTGCACGGTGAGCTTCGCGCTCTGGTAATTTTCTTTGACAGCCTCAAAAGTGCTCTCATCAAGTTTTCGCCACTTGACCTTCCGATCGAAAACCTGCGGCACCCTAGGTATGGTCTCGTCATAGCCCAATGGAACACCTTTCTCAAAGCACTCCTCGCCTTCTGTCAAGATTTTCCAGTCCGGGTCTTCCAGCAAGCGTGACGTGTGCGAGAGCAACCGAAGATAGAAAGGCTGTGGATCAGGAACTTCCAGCAAACCTTCGTGTTTGGCTCCGTCAGTCTCACATACAAGTGCAGCCCAGTCCTCGCGAAGGCGTCGCATCGCACCTTCATCGAAAGGCGATTCCAGAATCTGCCCGGTGGCCAACTTGAGTTCTAACAATTGGCAGTCTGGCACCTGCTCTGCGACAAACTGCTGCACCAAGCCATTCAAGCGTCTTGACAGGTCCTTTGATTGCTTTGGTAGCGATGCTCCACGGGAGGCAGGATGCCAACGCGTTGGGGAACAAAGACCATAGCCGTCAGTGATAGGCGACTCTCTCCCGTCCCACTCCAGCATCAAGGGATTTCCGAAGTTGCCACAAAGCTCTGGTCTGAAGACATCATCTGCTTGCTGGTCCACTCCACCAGCCGGCGGGTCCTATTCCAAACTCTCCGTTGATGACAGTTCCCCGGCATCCAAGGTCCTCTCTGCCAGCTGACTGCCTGCAGGGCAGTTGATTCCAAGGTCCTCAAGAAGCTGTGCATCCGATTTCTTCAGCTCCTCAGTCTTCGACACCGTGAATGCAACGACAATCAGTCGGCGGCCCTTCCAAGGCATGGTGCAATGCAAGATGCCACGGGCATCGAAGCAGAGGCCTTCGGGGGGAATCGGCATGGCCGTCCCAAACACTTCAGAGCCTCCAAAGGTCTGTGGTATAGCACCATTGTCTTGTTGCAGCCACAACTCGCCCCCGGAAAACTGGGTAAGAGGGATTATCAAGTTCTCGCAGCAAGCATTACGGCTGTCCTTGTGGAGGGCAGTGCACACATTGTCATAGATGCTGATGGTGCTGAAAGGATGGAAAGGACGCACACTCCGAACAAAACGGACCAAGCACTTGGTGGCCAGCGGGAAGTCGTGGCATGCCTTCCTCAGGCCTGTCAAGCCTCCCTTGTTGTAGGCACCCGTGGAGAAAGAGCTCGGGATGCGGCCTTCCGGGGTCACGAGCTGACACCTCTTTCGGCAAAGCTTCGTACAAGCGAACGATGTCCTCGGCGCGAGGCGCCTCGTCTTTCGAAAGGATCTCACAAGCTAAAGCCTCGGCGTTGTGTGCATGGGCCTCCGACGAATCGGGGCCTGCCCCAACCTGGGGGCCTACACCACTATCTGCCTGGGGGCCTAAACCACTAGCAGCCGGGGAAACCGAACTGGAGGGAACTGCAGGGGAGGACAAGGGACTACCGGCAGTGCTAGAACCAAGACCCTCCGGTGGGCCACCATTCCTTCCTGCGTCTCCCCTTGTGCGCAGCACCGAAGGAAGGATGGAATGCAGGAGGTGATCACACAGAGCCGCCGGCCACTTGACAGAGGAGGCCGTATTCCAATCACGACCTTGGCGACCCACTAAAGGCTTAGGGTGATGGCTGTGCGGACAGCGCGGCGGCAACGGGCCCAAGTAATGGCCTTGAGCATCAAAGGTGGGCCACAAGCTGTACGGCGGGAGCTGAAGCCTGAGCCGTTGGGAATTGGAAAGGAAGCGGCTGGGCTTAGCGGTAGGGGCCCCGGATTCACAACGGAAGTATGCCCAAGTTGTGGCATTATGCTGAACTTGCAGGTCGCGCACCTGAAGTAACTGCCAAAATGACGCCGGCCGCTCACCACCCAGGTCCTCAGGGCTCTCAAGCACAAAGCAGCCTCCTGCGGATGCACAGGCGGATGCCGCTTCTACACATCGCTGGAACAAGGAATTTGCCTTATCAACCTTAATTCTATTGTCATCAGACAACCATGGAAAACCTGTGGGCCATGCTTCCGACCTGAGTGGGGCCGGTCCTGGCCGTTTGTGCCTAGCCCGCGACATGGTTTCAAGTGGTGGACTCGCCAAGAAAATCCAATCTCCCTGGCACAAGCAATTAAGAATTGAATCCCAAAACCGATCAGTCATCAAGTCGGGATCGTGAAACTCGTATCCTCTGCACTCGCTGACCCCTGATTGCAATGCAAGGTGTGCCTGCACGGAGGGCAGACCGAACCACATGATTTTGAGGCCAGCGGCTGGGGACCGTCACTCGGCTTTGCCGTTGCCTTGCGACAGCTCCTGGTGGCGAATGGCCGGATGCTCTTTGTAGCACCCTTTGACCCGGCACACGTGTGCGCGCCCACAGTTGCCCTGGCAACCCTGATTGTTGTATGCGAAACAGATATCCTTGCCATCGGGTGTCCTCCAGACAAGCTGCAAGCCTCTGAAAGCCCCCTTTTCTTCGCCTTTGCCTTTCCCCTGTTTGCCTTTTCCAGTCCTGGGGTCCTTGCCTTTGCCCCCCTTCTCCCCTTTCTCCCCCTTGCGTGTCCACTTGGATGGCATGGGGAAAGCGGTCAACGTGAGAGGCGTGACAAAGTGGACTTCCTTAAGCTCACAATCTTTAGTCACAGCGGTTAAGGCATCTTGAAGCGTCTGGCCCTCGTCGTTGACAAGCCTGAAAGCCTCTTTCCTCAACTTGTACTCATAGCGAAGTACGATCCCCCAAGGGGGACGGAAAAGTGCATTTTGACTGTTGTCATAGCCCGTAGCCTGTTCCAACCTGAGGCCAGCGACCCGCTCACCGAGGATGTAGTCGACGAATTTGGTGAAGTCTGCCATCGTCAAGCCCTGCAGCCAAGTTTTGGATTTATACCTTGACTGCATAGCCAACCAAGCATAACCCTCAATCTTCAAGACCCTCCGATAGGCTTCAGAATTCTGAGGCATCTCGACTTTCTGTTTGGTTTTCGTGATTCGCAAGTGTCCTGCAGGATCGACACTAGATTGGATGGTGGCAGTCTGAGAGTCACGCTTCGACGTGATGGTGTCAAGCTGGGCTGCTGTTGGCTCATTCTGCTCTGTCTCTTCTGCTTTCAATGCCAAGTACTCAGCGCTTGGTGTCTCAGCCTCGTTGAGCTTGCCATAAGCAGCCGAAACCGCACGCATCATTGCCTGCCTTTCTTGGGTCTGCAAAATCCTGGGCTGATTGAGCGCACGGGCCTCTGCACGGAGTTCTATTTCTTTCGAGCTAATCTCTTTAGCGAGTTCCCACGCTGCCACTATGGCAGCCGTCTGCTGGCGCCCTGCTGGGGTATCCGCTGGCACTCCAACGTCTGTGTTCGCAGCCGTGCGCGAACCAGCACGATCATCGGCGATAGCCTGGAATCTGCGAAGCGTGGTATGCACGTTGCACACGGCATATTGTGTGGCGAGGGAAGCCCCGGCCTCCTGCAAGACATATTGCAAATCAGCATCGACTCCGCTGACTCTCTCACGCATCTCTGCTTCAGTCACCCCCATCCCTGGTCTGGGCAAGCGGCGCCTCCCTCGAGGCCTTTGCTCTGCAGCCTACGGTCCGCTTCCCCGCTGAGCGCCCTCAGGCCTTTGCTTCAGCCTCCCAAGGTCTGAACCCTGAAGCACTGCCAAGAGCGGCAAATGTCGTTACGCGCAACAAACAACAGCCTGAGCGCTCAAATCAGTACATGAAGCAGTGCACTTGCCAATGACAAGAACTTCAAAGACGGGCGATTCAAGGTAACATGAGATCTTCTTTTGAGCATGGTCCAAACTCAGCTCGTGTCATGGTGTCCCTAAGCTGTGCACAAAACAAAGGCTACGCGCAAATCAACAGTAAAGGCCTTCTGTGCACCTCAATCACTTGAGGAAGTGGTAGCCTCTCCTGAGCTACTTTCTTCGGCCTTGTTGTCGTCGGCCATCGACCTGATCCTGAGCTTGCAATCCTTACAAATTGCATCGAAATCTGTTGAGGCCACCTGATCAAGATACAAGACGTCCTGGCATTTAAAAGGCTTTACATAGCAAGCGTGGTTCACATGCAATCTGCGGAACCCTGTCTTCTTGCTGACACTAATGAAATACTTGGCCTCTTCCTTAGGAGCGGCTGCCGACTCACGCTGGTCCTCATCCGCCTCCTCTGCGATCACGTGTGGCCCAGGGATGCTCTGCATGTAGAGAGGCGGGTAGCGCCCGCCAAGCCGGGGGTTCCCCTGCTCCTGGATGCGATGTACTATCTGCCGAGCTGTCCTCGTGTAGTCAGCCGAACCCCCTCCACCGACCTTCCATCGGCCGAGGAAGTCTCTGTCGTCCTTAGGTACCCTGATGGCAGCAGCAATCGACGTGAGGAAGTTTCTTGCAGAGTGCCCAGAGAAATGTAATGCGCAATCTCCCGGAAGCAAAAGACGCTCTTTGTTCTGTATCCAGCGGCCCTCGGCCCAGCGTGGAACACAAAGCTCCTTGTAGATCTTGCGCACATAGAGTGACACAGCAGAGGCATCCACCCCTTTGTTGCCACACGTTTCCCAATCGTCTGAAGCTTGCAAAACCAAGAAATCCCTCTTGTATTCAATCTCTGACCAAATCTCATGTCCCTTTTTCATCCAATCCAAACCAGAGAAACTGGCCTTGCGGGATATGAAGACCTGCACCATGTTGATCCTCCGATCTGGACCCGTCGTCTTGGTCTTCCAAAGCTTGCAAGAAAGACCCTCTATCGTGAGCCGCATGCTCTCTGGCCTCATGCACTGAACATCATCTGACCTCATGCTTCCCCAAAGCATCAGCAGTGCAACAAAAGCCATCGCTCTTGCGTATCTCGCTCTATCTTCGTCAAACACGTACAGCTCAAGTGAAAGCGCCATAGCTACCGTAGGCTGCGCCGCCTGATGCGGCACTGGCCCCTTTTCCACCAGCTCGGCAGTGACATTCTTGCTGTACGACACCCATGTAGGATCCCTAGACAGCATATCACCTTCCCCGACGCGTCCGACCTGTTCCAGAACAGAAAGCGCTGCCGCAAAAGCATCTATGGTCGTCTTTCCTGCACCCTCCTTGACAGCTTCAGACGCGGCCCTTCGAAACCTCCAGCCATCTCCCGAACTTGTTCCAAGAATGATAACGATTCCTAAGAGTCTTTGACCGTCTCGTCCCAAAGATACGCACACATGCCTCTTCGGGATCAGCGACTTCTTTCAAGATCTCCACTATTGGTGTCTTCGCTTCAACCAGGATATTATACAAGAGTATGGCGTACTTTGCTTTGGCGGCCTTCTCCTCAGCCGCCCTCTTTGATGGGTCCACACTATTCTCCCTGGCCTTTCTGGCCCTTTCAATTGCAGGCAGCAGCGAAAGAGGGTTGCTGTGCGCAAGTCTATCGAATGCTTCAGATGTGGCCGAAGCAGAACCGGTATGCTGCCCCACCAAACTCTCCATCAAACCCGCTCTCGCTACTCGCTTGGCGTGTGCCACGACGCCTGCACCTTCCTTATGCCATTTGACAAGCTGGTCGACTGCAAGCTGAAGATTACTTGCCCCCATCCCTGGCAACAGTATCTCCACCAATCTGCGTGCACCTCTGTCATCGTCAAAATCGTAATGCAGCTGCCGGGGGCTTGTAAAGCATGATTTCAGCTTCGTCATTAGCTCCCCTTGGAGGGGTGGCCAATCGAGATCCATTGCGCGTCCCGCGAGGGAAACTCTTGCTCCCTCCTAAAGAAAACGACATGAGCCACGGCCTGAGCCTGACGTGGCTACCCATTCGAGACTGCAACATTGCGAGACTGTGGGACTGACCCGGAAAGACATGGATTGAAAATCACTCAAGAAATTCAAGCCAAAAGCAAAACTAAAATCTGACAGAGAAAATTTGTCTTCTTTCAAACAAAGCGCACGGGATCCGTCTAGGATCCAAGTCCTCAGCTAAGAACCCCCCCGCCCCGCCCGTCAGCTAGCTCCGGACAGATCTACAGGGTGAAACCCGGTTTAGCAAGGGCCTCGAGGTGTTGACGTGTTCCAGCAAGGTTCGCAGCGCCCATTCAAGATCAGCGCCAAGCTCCGACGTGCCGTCAATCCCTCTGGCACTCAAAGACAATTGATGCATGGCTTCGCAAGGTGCCCTCCCGAAGAGATAAGAAGAATACCAATGCATGCGTCCCCGGAGAACCTCAGCTTCCTTGGAGCTGAGTTTGCCCATCATCAAGATGTTCCCAAGGACGTCCTTCAGCTCGGTCCTTCTCTCAGCGGTGTGGGTAATCGAGATGATCCCATTCTGGAATTCTGTCAAGTCAAAGGCCAAGCCCAAGGCATTGAACACAGCATCAAATTTAGTCGCTTTCTTTCCTTCCTTGGCGTACTGGACCCCTAGAGCCTCAAAAACCTCGTCGGCAAGTTCATCAATTTGCTCCTCCATTCCATCGCACGACAGCAAAGGAAAATCATCGAAGTAAGCACACCATCCCAGTCCCATGTCCCGGGCGCCAGTGTGCCAGATTGCAGCAGAAACCCGGCGGAATCCCGCCACGCTTCCGGTGGCCCCGAATGGCAGGACGTTCGTTCCATAAACACGTGGTGTCTTGTTGTCTTTGTCGAACACGCCAAATCTCAAGTGTTGCCGATCAAGAGGATGCACCGGGTAAAACTTGTAAGCGGAAACAAGATCTATCGTTTTCCCAACCAATCGGCGTAGCCTGTCCTTCGGCATGTTCAACAGCTCAAGGAAAACTGCTGCAAGAACGTCAACCCCGTGCAAGGTAAATTTCTCCGGCAGCCCACAAGCCATATTCAGACCACAGTCCTTTCCGTTGTCAATGACTCAAACTTTGTTTTTCTGCTCCAGTCCAAACCGGTGAGCCAGAACAATGTTGTTGAAGTCCGGGTCGGTGTCTTCGAAGATCCATCCTTTGCGCTCCTCCTCAATAGTTTCGGCCCACGCTTTTTCGGCCGTCTCATCAAGTTTGGTACTCGCTATACGTCTCACGGTCATAGGAGACCGGTAGGACGATTGGGCCAGCAAATTTTCCAAAGAAGCTTCAGGGGCCTTGACGCGGGGCTTGAAGATTCCCGTCTCCCTCATCCATCCGGTCAATCGGAAACCATTACGCAAGTCTGCCCAGAGCATCTTGTCGGGAAACCCATTTCGATCAAGAATTCGTTTCCATGCAAGAACGTTCTTCCCCTCCAACGCCTTCGCCAAGTACGTGGGCTTTTGTTTCATGAGAGCAGCATTCATAGCGGCCGACTCTTCAGCAATTCTCTTCCATGCACTTCTGGATTCCTCAGCCCGTCTTTGGCGTTCATTCGCCGGCATAACCACGTTGGCTGCGATCTCTTTTGCAGGACCTTGACGATTGAGGATACTTGTGAGGGTGTCCAGCAAGAACGGCAGCCTTAACGAAGTCCTCGGGCTCGCGCGGAATGCCAATGGTAAGGACCTCTGCTTGGGTGGCGCAAGGGTTGTCGTCACACACCATTCCGACCACCTCGTACACTTCATTCTTGTCTTCACCAGCAATGGAAGAGAAATCTGCAAGGTTATTGTCTGCGATCCTTGCCGCAACACCTAGTAGCTCGGAGGACTCCCGCCTGTCAAAGCCAGCATAAGCTGAGACAGCGCAAACCCGCACCGCTCCCCATGGCACCAGTTTGCGCTGCGTAACACGGGCGCCTTTGGGGTAGCACTGCAAGATAGGGCCGGCAGCGTGCGCAGACCGTACAGGCACGGCCCAATTGTCATAAGCGCTGTATCAGGAGACCAGAGGTCGCGCGAATTTTGGTTGCCGTTGCAGTGCCACGTGTTCGCAAGCACGCGGCTGTTGAGCAGTGGCAGCCAAAGCAGGATAATCATCCGCCAGTATGTAAAGCATGCGCTCACAAAGCAGCCAAGGGTAGGCGGCTTCCTGGACAGTCGGGAACTGCCAACACCCATCCAGAAAGCGAGGCTTCCAGGAGGCGTGTTTGTCAGCGCAAGGCCAGCGACTGGTAACGCGAGTCGGAGCACCAGAACAAGGTAGTTTTGTCACGATCGCCGCCATGCATGCAAGCGTCGAAGATGAGCTGGTAACTGTCGTCGCGGCGACAGAGGTGGTCAAGGCCATCGCAGAGCCAAGCCAAACTGTTGAGAGGGTTCTCCACGGTAGCGAAAATACCAAGCTGCAGGGCGAGGTCGACAACGCGTCCAACGGCACGGTACAACTTATTTCCCAACGAAACTTCCGTTAGCGCGCGTTTCAGGGAACCCTCAACTGCGCTGCAGTAAGCTACAAGCAAGAGCACTCTTTTTTATTCCTAGCGGACATGGGGTGTCAGTTCGGGCCCGGTCTTCGGGCACTGAGAGAACTGATGCCGCTGGCATCTTGTATAGGAAAAATCGACCGCTGGTCGAGGGTAAGGCGAACGACTGGTCCACCCCCCTGCCAACCCCTACCAGGGGCAACTCCGTACTACGGGAGAAGTGGTGACACGAACTTTGACCCACAGGGCCACTGCAGACTACTACTAGCTACGCTGCTCTTCCACGGCCTACGGCCTATGTACAGAAAAAGCACGCTGTGCTGGTGGATAAAATCTCTTCTAGGAGCCCTGCTCCTGGCAGCTCTGCTGCTAAGTGCGTGGTCCCGGACCCCGCATACTATACAGGGTGTGGCGGGCGGGATAAAAATTTTGGATCACAGATCCACACTTCAAGCCGAAAGCTGCACGGCAAAGTTTGCCTAGTGTGTTCACAACACACAAGCGAAAACTCTGTTTTCCTTTTTCGACAAACTTTGTCTACACTTTCGGCGGGAAATAAAACCCATTCACGCACGCATGATGGGGGCTTATTTCCCAACGAAACTTCCGTTAGCGCACGTTTCAGGGAACCCTCAACGGCGCTGCAGTAAGCTAAAAGCAAGAGCACTCTTTTTTATTCCTAGCGGACATGGGGGGTCAGTTCGGGCCCGGTCTTCGGGCACTGAGAGAACTGATGCCGCTGGCATCTTGTATAGGAAAAATCGACCGCTGGTCGAGGGTAAGGCGAACGACTGGTCCACCCCCCTTGAAGGCACTCGAAGCCTTACACACCCCCCATCTAGTCCGCGCCGAGTGACAGGGCCAACTGAACAAACTTCGGACTTTTGCAAGTACTCTGAGCCTGAATGTTACGTCGATCGTACATGCTTCGCATGCTCTTCAAGAAAACTACACGAGTGGTCAAAAGCTACCAAAACTGTTCTAGCAAAATAAGAGTACAGGGCATAGGGGAAAATTTTGATCACCCCGCCCGGACATCCCCAGTGACTTAGACTGGAAGATGTTCGCATCAACATACAGCGTACGATACATCACAGTAGCGACCACTTCTCACTACAGTATACACGGCTCAACAAGTCAGCGTAGCTACGATCTAAAGTCGTCTGTACACTACGCGCACTCCATCAAAGGCTCGGACAGCCGATGACGAAATGCAAGCTTGACTCACCCAAGCGTAGGCGTTCGAAGTTCAAGCGCTCCTGTCAAGAACCAAAACAATTCATGGCGGATCATGCATCATGCTTAACATTGATGCCCGGGATTATAGCGGCCTAGTTACCGCTGAAAGCTCATCACGAGACTTTCCTTCGGAGTCATGACCGCTCCACGGTCAACACAATTGTTGTTCGGACATAACCAGATTGACACCAAAGTGGTGTGTATCGTGCACAGTCTTGCACGCTCCAAGGATGGTTCACACATCAAGGTCAAGAATGATTCACAGGTGGTTTTCTGAAGCTATGTACAATCGTCGCTGGTCGTCAATGACACACACCCAAAGGTAGTGCCACTGACTATGTACAGATGGCCAATGCATCAGCATCAAGAGCATTCAAGACACAAGTGTGTTGCGGCACGCATTCCAAGGATCATCACTTTTGTTTCTTGCTGCCACCAAAGCAACTTCCGCACGGCTTGTAACCGCGTTCACGGGCTGTGGCGATTCCAAGCTTCACGATCTCATCAGCATTGTTCAGACAAGTGCAATTCCTGCTTTTGTGGTACGACTTGCCCCGTCTCAAAGTGCAATAAACATGCAACTCAGGCACATGCTGGATCACATCGTTGGAACCGCGTGCGGCATCGCCATCTATGAAGATAGCACGATTCGGCTCTGGCATTGGCAGCGTTCTCTCTCTTGTTCGATCTTTCGCCTCGTGGTATTCTCCCCAAGCGATACGGTCGTAGTTCATTTCAGCGATCAATCTGCTCAAGCGCTCGTTCTCCTGCTCAGCGGCATGCAGTGCGGCTCGCACCCGTCGCAGGCACATCATGATTGCCAGGCAGAACGCTGAAAGGCTGCAGGTGAAAGTCAATGGAACCCAATTCCACCAACCGTCGGTTCCCTGCTCGTACACTTCTTCGGTGGAGGTGCTGGCATTGCTCACGTTCAAGGTGATGTCATCTTCATTGCCCTCTGTGGTCCATAGCCGCCCAAGGCTCAAAGATTTCAAGGCAAGAAGGATAGCACATGTGCAAATCACCAAGACGGCCAGCGACTGCGGCCACCGTGCATCATCATCGGTCTGCACACCGACCTCACGCCTGGTACCACTGCTCTCGGCACCTTGCACAAGCGACAGCATCATCACCATCATTGCAGTGCTGAAGCTCTGCATTCCGTTGCTCTTCAGCGTCTTACACACAAGTCTGCGAACCCTCTGTGT